TTACAGATCAAAAGCATCACATCAGAATGCCGATCACATTCTTCACACTAGAGAGACAGTCCTCAAATTGATATGTAAACACATATAGCCAAACAGCCAAAATAATTTTTAGAAGAAAGAACAAAGTTGGAGGTACCGTGACACATGCGTGGTGGAAAGGAGCCCTTACACATCGCTGTTGGTAAGTAAAGTGTTATAGCCACTATGGAGATCAGTAGAGAGTTTCTCCAAAACAACAAAAGATAAAACTGCCATATAATCCAGCAACACTGCCTGTAGGTGTATCCTGGAAGGCTCTCTGTCAACAGACCACAGAGACAGCTGTCTATCCCTCTTTCTTGCTGCACTACACTCACAAGAGCCAGGAAATGGACCCCCAGCCTATGTGTCCAGCAACGGATGAATACAAAAAGAAATGTGGTATCAATGCACAATAGAATTTTATACAGTCATAAAGAACAACAAAATCATGCTATTTACAAGAAAATTGATGTACCTGGAAATCATTAAGCAAAATGAACAAAGTTCAGACAAATATCACATTTCCTTTGTTTATGCAAACTACGTTTAAAAATATAAATATGTTTGTGTGCATATTTGCGTATATGTTGTCAAATGGGAAAGAGACAGGAGAAATCTTTCTGAAGGTGGGAGAATGTGAAGATAAAGAGGGTAATGGAGCGCACACGGTAAGTAAACAGGTGAACTCACTAGGAGAAGAAGGGAGTCAGCTTGGGGGGAGCACAAAGGAGAGAGTGGGTTATGGAAGAAGTGGGAACAAGGCAGACTATTATGTCAAGAGGAAATCCTTTAATTTGTATGCTGACATTAAGGAAATAACAGAAATTAACTGATCATGATGGTGGACACCTGTAATCCCGGCACTCAGGAAGAAGCAGCAGGAAGATCTCTTGAGTTCTAGGCCTCTTTCTTGCTCTATCCCTCTTTCTTGCTGCACTACACTCACAAGAGCCAGGAAATGGACCCCCAGCCTATGTGTCTATAGCCTTGTCTATAACAAAGTTTCAGGACAGAGGGGGCTATGTAGAGAGCCTGTCTCAAAAAAAATTATAAGACATTAAAAGTACAAAGGGCTAAGGGGAAGGTATAGAAGAGATTTTCCTTACACTATCAATCAGGCCACGTCTACTTGGCACCCAACTACAGTAACTTATGCCTTATGTAATTATTTGAGGCCTAACCACTAATGAATGGCCCATGTGCCCTACTCAAACGGCCAATCTGGAGTGTAGTTGTGTGGTGAATTGTACCTGCTAACAAAACAAGATGCCCAGATATAGGACTCACACAATTGTCCCATGAGATATGACCAAGTAATAGCCCCCATAATTTAAAATAAAAACTATTCATTCTCAACTGTGGTCTGTAACCAAATGTCTTTTTTTCTGTCTCACCTGGTCTCGCTGGACCGGTTTCTCTCCCACCCATCGGTTCCTGCAGTCGCTTATGAAATAATCACTCAGAGGCTAATATTAGTTATAATTGCTTGGCTGATGGCTTAAGCTTATTAGTGGCTAGTTCTCACTTATAAATTAACCCATTTTTAATAATCTGTGTACTGCCACATTGCCAAGGAGTTTACCTTAGGTGTTCTGGCATCCTGTTATGTCAGTGGCTTGCTAGCATCTCTCTTCTTGGGTAGCTGGCTCCCATTTCTCCAGACCCCAAACAAGCCAGGGAGTGGTGGCGCACACCTTTAATCCCAGGATTCAGGAGACAGGGGCGCTGGATCTCTGTGAGTTCAAGGCCACCCTGGGCTATACAAGAGAAATAGAGCTCGAAGCACTGGGATTCCAGGCCTTTAATCCCAGCACTAGGGAGGTGGAGACGGGAATGATATGGCTGGGCAGAGAGAGGAGTATATGGGGGAAGAGACAGGAACTCAGTGGAGTATAGAGTGTAGAGTGTGGGGTGTGGAGTCTTCAGGATTCGAGACAGGATCTCATCCATCTTCAGTCTGAGGTAGTGGTGAAAGTTAGTTGGCTAGCTGCTTTGCTTTTCTGATCTTCAGGTTGAACCTCAATATCTGTCTCTGGGTTTTTATTTTTCATGCTACAATAATCTAACTAGTGGATTGATGTTCTTGGGAAAACCATAGTGAAAACCCTGCAGACCACCTGATCATAACTGACTAGAATATCAACATTAAAGCTGAGAGCCAAAAATGTCTTGGATTATCCTAGGCCTTTAATAGCCAATTACCTAGCTTTTGAGTCTAACTATCTCATGTCTAAAGAATATCTCCCAATACATTCCTAAACTCAGCAGGCCTCTGATCCAATCAAAAGGCGAAGAATGTTGCAGTTTCTGAAACTGAGCAATCTCCCAGGCTTTGGAGCCAATGAACTTAATGAGCTCCCAAGTGATTTCTGAACACTGGTTTGTGAGCTTCTTTTGTTCTGTGACTACAAGAGTTCATACAGCCACTTCCGCACTGGAACAGGTCACACGTGGTGTTTTGAATCTGTTCCGAGCCAAGGTTACACATGCTTCATTCACAATACTTTTTTTTTTTTTTTTTTTTTGAGACAGGGTTTCTCTGTAGCTTTTTGGTTCCTGTCCTGGAACTAACTCTTGTAGGCTAGGCTGGCCTCGAACTCACAGAGATCCGCCTGCCTCTGCCTCCTGAGTGCTGGGATTAAAAGCGTGCGCCACCATCGCCCGGCACACAATACATTTTTTTAAGATTTTATGTGCATGTCTGTGAATACATGGGCATGTGTGTTCAAGGTGTGTGTTATCTGTGCAAGGAGGCCACAAGAGGGCATCAGGTGCCTCTAATACTCTCTGCCCATTCCTTTGAGGCAGAGTCTCTCCTTGACCTTCTGAACTTCTTAGCTAGGCAAGAAGGCAGCAAGCTGCAGCAAGCATCCTGTCTCTGCAGGATGTTAGAAGCTGGGGTTAAGATGTGCACAGAGATCCCGACTGTGGTGGTTTGAGTTAGAAATGCCTCTGATGGGCTCAGGCATTTGAACACTTAGACACCTGCTGCTGCCACTGTTTGAGAATGTTAAGGATGCATGGCCTTGCTGCTGGAATTATGTCTTTTAGAGTTCATAGCCTCACCTCACTTGTGATTCTGTTTGCATTTGAAGATGAGGTCTCTCGGCTTCCTGCCCCCATCTCTATACCTCCCCATCGTATGGAATCATATCCCTCTAGACCTTGCATGTTCGTCAACTACCTACCCCACATACCAAATCAAAATAAAATGATGGGCTGGAGCGATGTCTTAGCCACTAACAACTCTTGTTGCTCTTGCAGCCGACCACCTTTACCTTCAGCTCCAGAGGATCTGGCACCCTATTCTGAACCCCACAGGTCCGAGGTTTGCACATGGTACATACACATACATGCCGAAAGACACCTACACACTACTTAATAATCTAGTTTTTAAAAAAAGCAACAAATAAAAAATAAATTGGCAAAAAGTGAAACGCTACTCCTTCGATGAGCTAAGACTGTATTTGTTCTGAATAGTTGTTGGGGAACACCTTCGGATTCTTGAGTACAGATAGGTAAATAGTTTTAGCCAATCTCAAACTACCGGGCAAATTAGTACCTGCCTGAATTAGGCGATGAAGAGAGATTAGATAGAAGCTGAGACCCACAAGTTGAGAACCACTGTTCTAGACTGTATTTGTAAAAATTATAACTTTTGAAAGGACTCCTCTAAACCAGTGCTGGCAGACACTTTGGTATTCCAGAAACAGCCTTAAAATTTAGGATCTTCAATCATAAATCTAGTTTTTAATTTGGCCAGGAAAGAGATAAGTAAAATAATCATGGGAGAAAAAAGAATACCCATAACTTAGTAATAATCTCTGTTTTTGATGTATCTAGTATCATGTCCAAATATACAGGATATGAAAACAACAAAAGATCATTATCCATCTAGACCCTATAGATCGCCTACAAGGAAATAGACTTTGTTAACAGTGTTAACAGGCCCACCGCCTTGCATCCCTAATGTCCATGTTTACCTTAATAATTGCAAATAATGTTCCTTCTACCACTATCCTCCACACAGAGGCTCTCAACATGTGGATCATTGCAACCCCTTTGTGTGTTAAGAGACTTTCACAGGGGTTAGCTAGACCACTGAAAAACACAGATACTTACATTATAATTTATAAATTAGCAAAATTAGTTATGAATAGCAACAAAAATAATTTTATGGTTGGGGTCACCACAGCATGAGGGACCATAATAAAGGTCACAGTATTAGGTAGGTTGAGAACCACTGCTCTACAACATATAATCCTCTCTCACCTACAATCCCTAAGGTTAATAGGCCACAATGTTCACTCATTCAGTATTTAGCAAATGCACTGTGGTATGCTCTAACTGTGAAAAATCAATAATTGCTATTTTAAAAGCCAATGATGGGGATGGAGAAATGGCTTAGTGGTTAAGAGTGTCTACAGCTCTATCAGAGGACTAGAGTTCAGACTCCAGTTCCAATAGTTAGTAGCTCACAAAGAAACATGCAACTCCAACCTAAAGGGATTGCATGCCCCTTTCTGGCTTTCATGAACTCACACACAGACACACACACAAACACATATGCATACAAACACACACACACACACATACACACACACTGAACACACAAAGTAAATTCTTCAAAAGTTGATTTGTGCACACAGATGTAGTCTCAAAAACCCACGGTCTGAGGCAGAAGGATCACAAAATTGAGGCTGGTCTGGGTTATACAGTAGGACATTATTTCAAAATCAAAAATCAAGCCAACTTTTAAATTATACGTAGTAATCTGGCCAAAGATTTGCCTTTTGAAACTGACACAATTATTTACTATTTGGATGTTATGGACTGACTTTGAGACACAGCACAGTTAACACACACAAAAACAAAAAACGAAATCCTGTTCTTTCCTATAGCATTGAGATGCTGTGATGAGTGCAGTTTGCTTGCAGGCGTAAAGCATCTGTCCCACAACCTACGGTAATAGTCTACTGTTGAACATGATATTTTTTTATTTGAAAATGGTATAAAACAGCTGTAGAAATAACAGGAAGATAGCATTTTTATCACATTATGGATATTTTTCCCCTTTACACTAGAACTTACTTCTTGCACCCATTCCTGCTTTGTCTGGAACATCTTATACTAGGATTTCTGCATCATCGAACATTAGTGTTTAATTAAGAAGAGCTTATGGAAAACTAATCTGAGAACGATGCCTCCCTTGCTTCCTGGGCCTCTTCCTGAACATGCTTATTTGTGTACAGATTGGAAATCGGCTCCTGCCTTCTTCCACTCCTCCATCAGTTCCCTCTGGACCTCTTCTGGTAGCTCATAGAAAACCTGAGGATCAATGTCAGGTGGGAAAGACATTCTGTCATCAGCGGAATCTTGCTCTCTGTTCTCTCCTAGTCCTTGATGAGAGGTGGTGGCAACTGTCTGCCTGGGGCTGTCTGCCGGGCGGTGTTTGGAGAAAAGTTGTTCACTCTGCAAATTTGGAAATGAATGAAAAACTGAAACAGCGGGATTTGTATTGGAAAAGTGGAATCCTTGAGACTCTCTAGGTCCTTGGCTCGTGCGCTCATCTTTTAAGCGATTATCTATATAATAGGAACAATCCTTTCCACAGGGTGGGTGGGAGGTGCTGGTACTCAAGCCTGACGTTCCTTGCTCACAGGGAGACACAGCTGAAACCTGCTTGCCAGTGAACATAGTATCTCTGGGGCTTAAGGAACCAGCTTGCCTTTGCTTTGAAGAGAAGAAAGACAGTACTCCTCTCGAGGCATGCAGTGGACAGCTTAAACTTCCTTTCCCTTGAAGATTTTCTCCAGATTTCACAGACAGGATTTCTTCTTGAATGTCTGCTGGAAGTTGCTTAAAGACTTCATGGTCAACACCCTCAGGAAGTGCCGGGAGGGGAAAGTCACTCGTGTCTCTGTCTTTAGAAACACGCGGAGCATCTGATGGAGACTCCCCGGCTCTTGAACTCTCAATTCTTCTACTTGGTAGACGCTCCGAGTTTGCCTCTTTTTCTTTGTAAACGTCGTCATTGTGGGTGTCTTTAACTTTCTGGAACACAAGGAGAACAGCAGAATTTAGGAGTCTACACGCCTGAAATATCACTGATGCTGATGCATCCCTGCAGCTAGCGACTTACAAGCGATTTCAACCTGCTCAACACCTTCAGTCTTTTGTTGCCAGTGCCAGGTAGCAGTGAGTTACACGACTGTGTCGTTTATCATGGTATTCATATTTTCCTTGCTAGTTAGCACTGAGTAGGAGACAAAATATGCATAAGGAAAGGACCTCAACAATCATGTGGTTCAACAGCCAATTCTATAAACTAAATGATACAATAATACTATTGCGTTAAGACTGGGATAGTATAATAATTGTTCAGCTGTAATTGAGTGTGTGGACATTTTATGATGCAAAAAACTGGAAGGAAATTCAAATGCAAAAATTTTAAGAAAAATTGTGCAAACTTGAGAGTATTTAAGTTTTATATAGGTGTACTGTTATGCTTAAAAAAATATATTTGAGGGCTGGAGAGATAGCTCCGAGGTGTGTGTGTGTGTGTGTGTGTGTGTGTGTGCGATCACGTGTGTGGCGTGCAAATGGTTTTATTATGCATACATTTTCTGCCTGCATGTGTCCCTGCAGGCCAGAAGAGGGCACCAAATCTCATGCTACAGGTGATTATGAGCCACTATGTGGGCTGGGACTTGAACTGGGGAGCAGCCCCTGCTTAAACCTCAGAGCTATCTCTCTAGCCCTCATTTTTTGCATTTGAATTTCCCTTCCAATTTTATGCATCATAAAATGTCCACACACTCAATTACAGCTGAACAATTATACTATCCCAATCTTAACGCAATAGTAATTAATTTCTTATAGATGTTTATATCTATAAGACAATTCACAATATTCTTATATTCCTCTAGAAAATGTGTTGACACTTCCCGAACAGAAGCACCAGACTGCTTGTCTCCTTTATTCTGATGCTTACCCTGCCTCTTAGATTACGATATATTTCAGGCCAGCGGCCATCCTGTAATAGGAACTACAAACAGGTAGATCGTCCAAACAGTGACACCACAAAGAATCTCCAAATAGCACTAAATACAAATGTGCAGGGCGTTTTGAGCCACAGCGGTGAAGTAAGGGCATACTCACAAAACTGCGCTTGCCGGAGTGGGCCGTGGTTGACTGGGACGATGTTAAATAGAAATCCATGGGCCCCTTCTTAGCGGCACTCAGTGCTTTCAGGTTGCAGAAGCACACACTGAGAAGAGTCAGGTGAAATGGCAGCTTCACGTTCACCATATTTCGGAAGAGTTTCATAAGGATGTCAACCAGAGGAGTCACCGCATCATAATTTCCTAAGTAGATGTTGAAGGATATAATAAGCAACTGCATCCTAATATGAATTCAAATCATAACAATATTTACATGACTTATATTAAGAAACTAAAATCTAAATTGGGGTCATTGGAAATTTAACAATATTTACTAAATGTATTCTACACAATTATTTTAGTTTTGTACCCTTTGAAGTTGGGATATATTTTTAGTTAAGTATTTACTGAGTGAATAACTGAGAATTTACTTTTATTATCTATTAAAACATTTTTTAAAGTTAATGCCTGGTAAAATTAAAGTAATTTTTGAAAATCACATGAAAATACTTTTATATAGTGTGTTTCAAATTCAAAGTTTACTTTTTGAAGCGGTCAGTATGCCAATCACAGTCTTAGAAAACTAGCCCATACCTGTCCCCAGCTTCTGAATGACATGGGAGGGAATCGGGCACTGACGACTCTCGCGGTTACAGTGTTTCAGAGAATACCGACGGATGACTAATCTTATTGTATGGGGCTTCCTTCCATCATGGCACACTCTAAAAATATAAATGGAAAACCAGAATTATAGCATGCATTAACATGTCTTTAAGATGATGGAACTCTTCTTTATTGAAGTGTTGGGCTGCACTTGGGTGTTGACCGAGAAGTCTTTAAGTAACTTCCAGCAGACATTCCTCCCTGGAATCCTGTCTGGAAAATCTGGATAAAATCTTCAAGGGAAAGGAAGTTTAAGCTGTCCACTGCATGCCTCGAGAGGAGTACTGTCGTTCTTTTCTTCAAAGCAAAGGCAAGCTGGTTCCTTAAGCCCCAGAGATACTATGTTCACTGGCAAGCAGGTTTCAGCTGTGTCTCCCTGTGAGCCGGGAACGTCAGGCTTGAGTACCAGCAACTTTAGTAACTGTAAGTACCATAGGAAATGGTACATAATAAGCAATAGATGTTCAAGAACACCCAAATAAGTATCTCAAAGTCAATGCAGCAAAGCTCTGACATTTAAAATGGGAGAGTCACTCAGAATTAAGTGCTGTCAGAAATGGAGTGAACTATTATTTTATAGTCCAAAACTAGTTTAAAACAAACACATTAAATCAATAAGAATGTTTGCCAGCTATAGATCCAATAGAGGACAAATAACCAGAATATATAAAGAACTTAAAAGCCAAAACATCAAGAAAACAACCTCACTAATAGATATATCATCTCTGCTCCCTAACTGCAACCGACAGAATGGGCCACCTCCTACTCCGGCCTCCATGTCTTCCACACTTGGGAGGACTGTTTCCCTCCCTTAAGACAAGAAGCAAAATTAAATGTTTCTCCTTAAGAAAAAAAAGTTTCAACAGCCTTGGCAATCAGGGAAAAGTAAATTAAAACTCCTTTGCCATTTCATCTTACCTCATTGAGAATGGCTATAATTAAGATAAATTCCATTACACCTCTATCGCAAAAACAAGGTGCTGCAGTGTGGTGTTGGGTGGCACTGGCAAGCAGAGGCATGGACAGATGCTAAACACCTGGTGTCTCAGAGGTCTGGAGTACCCGCTCTCTTCATGACTGAGTTTGCAAGGCGGAGAATTTATATACAGCACATACTTCCTGTGGTTTTTCTATGCAGGGCCGTTCTGCACAGCCACACACTTCAGAGTCCGCATGAGCTGAGGTGAAGTGATGACCCAGTTTCGGCAGCACTCTCCCCAGAAAAGAATGAGTCACACCCCTGGAGCTGAGTCATGCACAGCCTCAGAGCCCTCAGCCGACAGTGAGCTGCATGGCTCTGCTCCAGGCATGAGGCGAGCTGCGTGACAGCAAAACGAAGGCCACTTCAGATGGCCTGCTGTCTTTCATCTGCATACGACTACTTTTCCTGTGATCATTCCAGAAGCACACGTGTTCTAAACCATTTTAGAGACTTCTATCGACATGATGTAATGGGAGATTATACTTCCTTGTGAGAAATGAGAAGTGTGCATTTCAAAGATAACAAGAAGCGCCGGGAAACATTTCTTCCTCAGCTTACGTTACCTTTCTTTTTTTCTTTTTTTTCCTGTATACTTAGATCCCACTGGACACATTACTATTAACTCTCAGGCCAGAGTCTCTGAACACACATATCAAGATTGAGTCTTCAAGGCACCACCACAGTTAGCCACCCCTTCCTTTGACTCGAGCAGTCCAGCAGTCTGAGACAGGGGGAGGTTTCTTCTGCTTTCTCTAGCACTGCCGTTTCAGCGTCTTCCTGTTCTGAGCCATCATGAACCTGAGGCCCATCCCTACATAAGGACGGTTAGAGCTGTGGCAGAATTACTCTTTCCTGCATTTTCCTCTTTCAACTGAAAAGCAAGTGATGGGAGCAGAGGCTGTGAATAGTTACAGGGAGGTTTTAAATGTCCTTCTCACCTCAAGACTGCAAACCTAGGAATTTAGAAACACCTAAGAAACCATTCAGGTAAGTACTTTAGCTTAATATCAACATGCCCTTCATGTTGTTGAGTGAAGACTAAAGGAAGTAGGTAACTGTAATTCAGAATACCTGATGGGAGAACGCTAATGACAAACCCTCTATCCTGAACACATTTACCTGTAAAACCCAACACAGAGCGTGAGGTAGACTTTGCCATGCGGTGCATACAGGGTGAATATAAAGGATGGCAGGCCAAATGAAAAATACCTGTTCAAAAAGCTGGAGAGTAGTTCTTCAATCTTAGTTTTAGCTTCAGCTTCTGAGGAACACTTTTTAAATGTATCTTCTTCACTAAAGGACTACCAAAGGACAAATGAGTATACTTTAATAGAAACTCAAACACAGTGCTTGTGCCAAATAAACACATCCTTAACACCTTATCTTAATGCATAGCTCAATATGTGGTTCTTTTCCATTAACTCTTTAAAAAGATTTATTTATGTACGATGTATACAGAGTTATTCCTGCAAGTATGCCTGCAGGCCAGAAGAGGGCACCAGATCGCATTACAGAAAGTTGTGAGCCACCATACGGTTGCTGGGAATTGAACTCTGGACCTCTGAGCCATCTCTCCAGCCCCCTTCATTAACTCTCGGTGTGTGCAGTTATTGTGCACAAGTCAGGAAACTTAAAGGTACAAGGGCCAACTCCCTCCAGTCTCTTTATATGTCTATGGCAAGGCTCCTATGGCCCTAAAACTTAATCTGAGTCTACACTGGGTAAGTTATTTAACCTTTGGAAGGTACAGTACCGAGGCCTTAAGGAGGAAAAGAGGAAGCAAGGCAGGCAGGCAGGATGATATAAATAAATGGCAGTCTATCTCTGAGGTTTATGATGAAAATTAAATGCACTAAATATGTGGAGCATGGGGGCTGGAGAGATGGCTTAGTGGTTAAGAGCATTGCCTGTTCTTCCAAAGGTTCTGAGTTCAATTCCCAGCAACCACATGGTGGCTCACAACCATCTGTAATGAGGTCTGGTGCCCTCTTCTGGCCTGCAGACATACATGCAAACAGACTACTGTATACATAATAAATAAATAAATAAATAAATAAATAAATAAATAAATAAATAAATAAATAGATTTTTAAAAATGGGATCATGTTCTAAAGTACCTGGCACATACGAGGGGAAAAAAAACACACTAATTGAATAATTTAACCTTCCCCATTTCCCAAATCGCTGGACTGTTCTGAAAACAGTGATGTTTTAAAAGAGTAAAATGTTTCTTCATATGTTTGTGTGTGTGTGTGTGTGTGTGTGTGTGTGTGTGTGTGTGTGTGTGTCTGGATTTGAGGACACTAGTAAAAAGAAAATAGATAACTTGATTTAAAACTACTAACAGGCACCAGGTGGTGGTGGCGCACGCCTTTAATCCCAGCACTAGGGAGGCAGAAGCAGGTGGAGCTCTATGAGTTCGGGGCCAGCCTGGTCTACAGAGTGAGTTCCAGGACAGGCTCCAAAGCTATATAAATCACCTTCTTATGGGGAAGCGATCACGTACAAGCAGCAACACAAATGAGAGCAGTGAATACTGCAGCCTGCAGACATCTTTATCTTAAATGGCACCACAGCCAGCACCCCATAATAAACGCCATGCTCACATACCTGAGGGGGGCCTGAGGGTGTGACAGGGGAACTGTCCTCTCCAAAACTGAGCTTCTGGATGCGCTGAGCAGCTGAGATTCCTAATTCCATCTCTAACATTTTGATTGGAAAGGTCTGGAGATCGTGCACACTATTGATTCCCAGCACTTCAAGACGTTTGGCGGTTTTATAGCCAATACCTGAACAACCGAAATGTGTCGTGTTACAACAGCGCTGTTTCTGAAAAGAAAGCTACCCTAATCACTAAAAATGTTTCCACCATATAAGTTCTTACTACTTTACTAAGATCAAACCCCATTACAAAATATATTCCTTTTCTTCCACCTAGGACTCGTGAGTTCCACAAACTTCTTTGAAGCCCTTCTAATATCAAGTACTGTCTGAGAGCCAGCCAGTGTGTCCTGTCTGGATAAAACATACTTTTGATAACCTGTGATGTGATAGTGTGGAAAACTCAAAAATAAGTTATAATTCACATACACAAAGAAGCCTGCACTGCAGCAATTAGAAGTGCCAAGCACCTTCCTAAAGGCACACCACACACAAACCCACAATCATGCTTAGTAGGATTTGCCATCCAGAACAAACTGAAAGGAGGAAAGAACCAAGCAGAACCTTTGCTGCTAACCAAACTCCATTAAATTAGTCATATTTTATGCATAAGAGAACTAAGCTATGAAATGTTTTCTTCTACACGTCATCTGAAAATAATACTCCTGCAGTTACCTGGCCTCCCTGCACAGTCACAGCAGAAAGCTGCAGGAAGCAGGCATGTGGGGGGATTGTTACAATGGAGAGACAGCTCACTTTCCAGCAATTAAAGACTGACGTTAGAGTCAAGCAAAGGTAAGAGACTGTGGGAAACACTGATGGGGGGGAGGATAATGGGGGGGTGTCAGCTGGCAGAGTGCTTGGCTAGTTTCCAGGAAGGCCTGGGTTTTATCTCCAGCACTGCCTGAAGCCAGTTGCAGAACTCAGGACATGGGGTGGGAGGGTCAGTAATTCAAGGCCATCTTCGGCCACAGCAAGTTCCAGGCCAGCCTAGGCTACACAATACATTAACTAAAAACTCAATCCAAGCAAGAATGTTTTATCTGAGTATAGAGATCTCAACTGATTACAATCTAACACGGTTCTTCAGAACAAAGACTCAAAGCTTCCAGTTATACTGTACTGAAGAAAGTAAGCCAAGCCAGAAAACAAATTAAATCACACCAACATTTGTCTAAAAGGGAAGTTGCCCCATTTAATTGGTGAAGTTTTCTGTCGTCTCATTTTCCCCCATTTCTAAATCCCTACAAGAATGACCTTTAACATCCTTATGGCTGCCTGTCCATGACTACTGTAGGTCACTTGTCTTTAAATGAGGACCCCAGGGACCGGAAGACCGTTCAGTCAGTAAAGCGCTTGTGGCTCAAACACTAGGACCTCGGTTCACACCACAACGTCCACAGAAAATGTCAGGAGCTCTGGTGCAGACCCACAACCCCAGAAGTCAGAAGGTGGTGACAGCAGGATCTCACCAATCCACAAGCTCAGGTTCAGTGAGAGACACTGTCCCAAAAATATGAAGTGATGGCAAACATACTCGAGGTTCCCCTCTCGGTACACACGCGCACACCAAAATACTGTTTAAATGAAAAGCTTAGCCTAGAAGTTTTCAGAAATTCACTGTGGCATTAATATTTTATACAAGGTCCACAAAGACATATTGTGGGATATTTTTTATACTGTGTGATGATATGTCACTGTGATTGGTTTAATAAAAAGCTAAACAGCCAATAGCTAAGCAGCAGATAGGCAGGACTTCCGGGCAGAGAGAGGTACTGGGGATGAACCTCAGCTTGTGGAGATCCCGGGGAGTCAGATGTACAGAATGGAGAGGTAAAGAACCATTACCAAGAGAATGTTCATTAACAGAAACAGGTTAATGTTAATCTAAGTTCTAAGAACTGGTTAGAAACAAGCCTAAGCTAAGGCTAAGCTTTCATAATTAATAATAAGTCTCCATGTCAATATTTGGGGACTGATGGTCCAAAGAAAGTCTGATGAGAAAGACCTACTACAAAGTGACATTGCAAACAATAAACTCCGCACCCTGTGAAATGTGCAGAGACCGTAAGTGTAGGCAGGACCATATGGCTCCAGGGTACCACTCAGAACTGTATGTGGAAAAGTACTTTCACATATATCTTCACACACATTTCCCCAGTTTTTTGTTTTTGTTTTGTTTTCTCCAAAAGTCAAGTGTGTGCCTCTAGGAACTGAATGCACGCTTCAATTAAAGACATTATAGCGACGCCGATACACACTCCTCAAGTGCTTTCATCTTACCGGGTATCTCCTTTATGTGGTTCAAATTGTGAATGAGATCTTGACAGCTTTCAGGCAGTAAGACTGTTTGCTGATTTGGTTTAAACACACCGGAAACTAACTTGGCCAGTAGCTTATTGGGAGCCACTCCAGCGCAGCCAGTGAGCTCCAGCTGGCTAAACATGGCTTCGCGCATCTCTGCCGCAATCTGCGATCCCACCGCCAGTCTCACGTGGGTGATGTTATGCAGGTTTACAGCTATAAGGACAATGTTATTACCACAAAATGGTCATTCCCTTTTCCACAAACAAGCCCAGGATTTTGTTTGTGTCCACCCCTCCTCCACCACTCTTCCACCTGTTTCTTTAGTTCTTCATAGCTTTCTATAAAGTGATCAAATACCTAGGGTCGATGATAATGAGCACATGCTCGAAGTGCTTAATCACTAACAGACTATGAAAACACAGCTCCTAAGAAGTTCCAGTTGAGCTGACATGCATAAAGCTTCACATTTACCAATAAATAAGTAGAAATAAGAATGTATTCATACACTACCAAAACACCCTAATGAAACCATTTCTGACTGGCTCACAGCTTAGGAGATCTGCTTAGGGCGCTGTGGAGAATATATTTCTTCTCAAAGAAAAGAACACATTTTCTTTGGTGTGGAACAATAGAGTTTTATGGACCCATCTTTACCCTTAGGAAGTGTAACAGAGCCTGCAACTTACTCCCCAATGGCTCACCGATCAGCCTAGCTCAGAGCAAGCGCAGAGTCCACAGAGGCAAGATAAAATAAACGTGCCACAATGAAAACTGGCTTGTCTATGACAGACAAGACTGCCCACATCATGATTCTGCCAACTGATAAACTCGTTTGAAAGAAACTGGTTTTAAAACTATGTGGAGCCAGGCACTTGGGAGGCAGAGGCAAGCTGATCTCTGAGTTCAGAGCTATCCTGGTCAACAAAGCAGTTCCAGGCCAGCAGGCTACACAGTGAGACCGTTTCAATAAAGAACTTATATAGAGGAAGAAAAGGTCATGACACTTAGGCACCTTTCACATGAAATATAAAATCTAGATCTCTATACACTGATGCATTTGTTCTCAACAATAAGGTCTGTGTCCGCTTTAAAAGCTGTACAGAGAGGGGACTGGAAATGGTATGTAAAATATAAACAAAATAGTTTTAAAAAAAATCAAATTGTAAAAAAAAAGCCATTTTGATTTTAAAATATTGACTGAAATCAAATATTCTGGAAATGTTTTTGTTTCATTGTTGAGTAAAAATGTCCTGATTTTTATTCAACTCTTTTGAATGAAACCGGGGGGAGGGGGGGAGCTGCACAAAGATCTATCTGGAATCTTTCTTGCTTTCCACCTTGGTGACTGACCAAAGAACACAGGTACAAAAGACACAGGAGAAACTTCTGGTCTCCTCGAAACAGTGGTTCTACCCATTTCTCCTCTGGAGACTGTATGGGCACTTCACACGGGCATAGGAAGGTGTATGCTGAGAAGCAGGACCAGCTGGGGCAGGCCGCTCTTACACGAAGAGCTTGTCTGCCACATGAATTCTCCTGCGGCCATGGGTGTCCAGAAGCCCAGGCAGATGTTCACGGGCATCACTGCAACTTATTTACAGATGCGAGTGTCCCAGGAAAAGCATCGGTCCTCCACACCTTGGAACGTGAAGATGGGTCCTGCTAGCAGCTGCTAATGGTCACTGGAACTGATTAACCTGAAGCCTAGAGAAGTCACCTCACACGGCAAGATTGGTCTGTGACTAGAAAAAAACCTGGACAAGATTCAGCTAGGATCCAACAGGGGACTTTTAGGGCCTCAAAGGAACAGGAGGGATCAAGGAAAATATACATCAACAGCACATTTAACCTACCTCAAAATTCAGGAGAATTAAAAATGATTAAAAAACAAAAAGATAAGCCAACTTCTGTAACTTAGGATGACCTTAGACACAGGCGGGAAAGAATGGGACGATAACTCCCTCAGAGACACAGAAGCTACTTGCGGCACATCCCTATGTAACACTGGACGATCCTCAAGCCTCAATGTGGACCAGCAAGACCTCATTTTGGCCGCCTTAGACACTAAACATGACTCTACCGCACTAAGCATGACTCTGCCTCCAAAAAAGCCACACTCGATCAGCAACCTCTCCGACTATGGGATATGTGTTACCACTGTCACTGAGAGGAGTGGGAAGCACTCACCCTGGTTATTGTAAACATGGCCCGACACGGTCACGGACGGAATCTCATCTCTTGGAAGCTGCTGGAGTCTTTTCTCAACCATTTCCGTTAGATCCACAAAATTTTCATCAAATCCAAGTCTCTCAACAACTGGACTAAATTCCTCCAACAATTCTAAATTGAAATAATATTGGAGAACAGATATAATTAAGTTACAACTAGCATAGAATTCACTATTAAAGATTAAAATACCAAATACAGCATATAAAAATGTGTATTCCATATGTATGATACATATGTAAAACAGCTTTACACCCTTTTAATTTTTTACTTAAATTTTTACTTTATATATGCATGTTTTGCCCGCATGTACATTTGTGTACCATGTTTATGCCTGGTACCTGCAGAGGCCAGAGGCGGGCATTGGACCTTGTAGGACTAGAGTTATAGATGGTTGTGAGCCCCGATGTGGGTGCCAAGAATTGAACCCAAATCCTCTGGAACAAGCATCCAGTGTTCTTAACTGCTAAGCCATCTTACCAGCCCAGCTCCACAGTCTTTGACAACATCCTCAGTTAACAGACTTTTAGGTAGAGGCAATATTCAAAGAAAAAAAATCCAGAAATAATATTCCCAAGATACTCACAGTAATACATCTAATTCAATCTTCCATATCTGTAACTTTTTTTAAAATCTGTACTATACTTTAAAAAAAATCCATGCTCAGAGGTAGTTAAAATCTTTAAGTGGATGTCAAGGAATAAATTTAATCTTAGAAAAGTATAACCAGGTATTTTAGCTATATTTTTCACAAGCATTTGCAGTACGCAAAAAATAACATTTGAAACTTATTTTGAAAATACACTACAACGAAGTAGTTTGATGAATCCTATCCTCAGGACATTTCCTCAGAATGAAGGCGCTGAAGTGGCAGAACCTTCCAGGATTCAAATGCCGAGCATCAAGGAAAGATTTAGCCATTAAAATGTTGGTTAAACATTTTAACCAACCCAAGGGTCAGAATTCAAAAGGACTATACATTCTGAAATGAGACTTAAAACTAATCAGTAATTACAACTTTTTCTATCTAGATGGTGAAAAGTACAGTAGTTACTTGGCATACATATATACCAAATATATTTTTTAAAGTTTGGACAGCAGAAGACACTAATGTTGACCTTTGGCACACACTCACATGTACATGTACACACACATAAACTTCACATCCACAAAATACCTTTCTTCACAGTATTTATTTTCATTTTAGATTTTAAAACTCCATTTACATAATTTCTGTTACTTACATAAATCGTATTCATGACCAAATTTAAATTACACTCAACTATTCATTTTCTCCACAGTTATAACAGTGAAAGCCACCTTCTTACATAATTAAAATTTTGTGTTAAATTTAATTGCTTGAGGGCACATGAAGCTACCTTTTGATATAATTAAAATTTTTTATTACTTTTATTCATTTGGCAGGGGCAGAGGGGCACATGTGTGGAGGTCAGAGGGCAACTTGTCGAAATCAGGTCTCTCCTTCTGCCACGTGGGTGCCAGGGATGGAACTCCAGTTGACAGTCCTAAAGTTGATTTTTGCAGTGAAAAAGGCCTTTTTAAAGTGTTAGGAAAAAAGGAACTAGCTATATGGCCACTTTATTAGCAATATTTGTATAAAGAATAATCATCCTACATGCTAAAATATTCAGTGACTAATTTGTACCTGTGACTTTATATGACATCTCTCTGTAGCGGCTCAAATCTTCTCCATTCACGAGGACCAGCTGGGGACACTTTTCTTTTGCATCTCTGACACTCATAAGCTTCTTAACTCCAAGTTTCCTGGCTTCATAGTTGCAAGTAACCACCAAGTATTTCTGCTGAACACCTATGAAAAACAAGCATCACCCGAGGAAACTAAATAGACTTTAGTCTTTAAACTACAGTTTCCTAGTTTCATGCTGTGACAGTGTAGGCGGGAACGGTCTGCTGCTATGGTGGTTAGCAGCAATGAGGCTCAAGCCCACAGCCTTGTGCACACACGCATGCTGGTCAAGCACTCCACCACCCACCACTACGTTCCAGCTTTTGGGGCTTTGCCACTTCCCCACCTCCACAGTGGCCTGAACGCTCCATGTAACCCAAGCTGCCCTCTAACTTGAAATTGTCCTCTGCCTCCCTTTGCAAGTGCCAAGGTTACAGAATTGTACCACCCTGCCCGGCTCGTGATGAGTTTTGACAAGAACAAAAAGACATATGAGTTAAGAAAAATAAACTCGCTGGGTAGTGGTGGTGCGCATGCCTTTAATCCCAGTACTCAGGAGGCAGAGGCAGGTGAATCTCCGTGAGTTCAAGGACAGCCAGGACTGTAACATAGAGCTATCTCCCACTTACAAATCATAAAATACCAATCTTGTTCTCACATATCTTAACTTTTATCTTTAGTTTTTTTCTAGTTGAAGAAGAAAGAAATTATATTAAGAAAACACTTAATAATGTAGCAGAAATTACATATAAGAATATGGGCAGTTACTCATACACAAAAGGGAAGCTGTGTTTCTCAAATCTGAATTATTGTTACATCAATATACTCTAAAGAATTTCCAGAAATAACACATAAATTAAATCATTCAAGGATTCTTTCCAGACAACTCAAAGCCCAATTGATTTATAGTGTCATATAATATTCTTGGGTATGCTTACCAAACAATAAGCCCAATGAAAATAACAAATAACAATTAAATACTGGTTGCTGCTAGAAAAACTCATTTATCTTCTGAGCAAACTGCCAATGAATATAAGGAATATTCTGAGAGCCAAACTACAGCCATCATGAGAGATCTTGTCCCATTAAGTACCTGAGCAATGAACTATAGATAGCTCATAATAATTTGTAGTTTTGCCATGAGGAATTACTTTAGGTTTCCTTTTAAAATTGACAGTATGACTACCTAGAGAATACACTGTTAAAAACTGCCAGGTATTTAAGATTGCTAAAATTATTTGCTTTTCTCTTTTTACACAAGTTGATTGTTTCATGCTACTTTAAGTCATATCCATCTGTAATAAGTAGAATGAACACATCGAAAAGAAATAAATCTGTATCCATTCTTTCTGCCTATTTTTAAATCTGACATTTTAAGACAAATCAAAATTAGTTTTGCAGATATGTTTTTCATCTATCTGACAAGGCCTGACAGTCTCAGTGAGCTATATGAAAGAGGCTGGACTGGCGAACTCCTTAGCTAAGAAGGCTCCCCACAGCATGTCTTGGCCTGACCTGGTTGCCCATTTATAAATAAAAGCTGACCGAGCACTGACTCTCCTCCACTGTATCTACATCTTAATCACAATACCTCTTAGAACAAAGGAACTACTAGGCATCTTGTGCTCACAAGAAATGATTTCAGAAGGAAAAAAAAAAAAAAAAAAGAACTGATCCCCTTACTTAAATCCTTGACTTGGGAAAGTTTAAAGACTTAGCCTTGTCTTAGAGAACTAAAACCCAGTCATTCCTTTGATCTTCAGGGAATCCATGGGATGGATGGTAACTTAAAAAAACCGAACCAGGCACAAGATGGAAGGAGCAAAGAAACAAACACTGCCCTTTATGCTTATACTAAAATATCCTCCCTATATGCATGAGAGAATGCTGTTTCCTTACTTAAGGTACGTGCCTACAGAAGTGAGCTACTACATCTACTAAGAGCTGATTCTGGTAGAAACCAGAATATGTGCTACCTATGCTAATGTCAGGCTTATTAAAGGGCCGAGACTTGGTACATTCATTCTTGGTAGGCAAAGCCAATATGGCTGCCAACCAAGTTCGCAAAAATGAACTCCAAGAACTGTCTTAAGACGGTTAATAAATCAGAAAAATAAATCATACTTGAGCTAATTTTATCATCACTCAACAAAGATACGATCAATGTGGATTACCTAAAGGTTTGTCCTTTAATTCTGGATTGGAGATCATTTCTACTTGGGCATAGAAGCAATCCAGATCCACGTGTACTATGACTCTGGCTGAGGAGATCCGTGTTGGCACCCCTTGATCGAAAACCGCTGCACAACAACACACAGGGAAACAAACACACTCAGGGTGCTTATCACCAGTGCACAGCTAACACATCCTTAACACGTTTTAGCTGGGAAAGAAGGTACAGTGGTTTCTTTCACTCTTGGACTTTATGATGGGTCCAATGCCAACTCTTTTGTATCTATAAATCATACAGACATGAAGCACCACCAACAAAACGTTCTTCAGTCCTGTTTAACTATCTATCATGTCTCCAGGTACCACAGTTTCCCCCTTCAGAGTCGTTACTTGGAGGGGGAAAATTCATGATCAATAATGAAGGGCACAAAAGCTAGAACTATCGTTAAATTTTTGGGTTTTTTTTTTTTTTTAGAAAGTTTTAAGCAGTAGAGGAAAAGACATTGTAGCAATGTTATTTTCAACCAACTGGAGAATTACTTAAAGAGGCATGTTAAAAAAAAAAAATCAAACAGGCACAACGTAACCTGTGGGTTCCAGGACACTAAATTTAGTTCCCATGAGAGTAAGATTTCCTGTTCTCCAGTCCCCAGTGCCTAGAACAGTGCCTGAGGCGTAACAGACAACAAATAGTTAATCACTGAGTTGAAAAACTAAGCATCTTATTTTAAAATCTAGGGTCAGGGCTGCACCTGAAGCCCCTGGGCCAGTGAGTAAATAGTAGTTTATGTTATGGGTAGTAAAGGAGGCAACAGGGGCGATTCTCTTCAGTTATGAACAAAGCAGCGTAAATGCAACCGGGGGCTAGGAAAAGCACCTTTGTAGGAAAACTGACATGTTCTGAATATAGTGTGTCCCTCTGTAAATGGGCACTGGTTGTGTACTGACTTTAATTTTGACATTTTGATATATGGACCAAGGAGATATTAGAGATATTGATATAACATGTACGCCACAACTTCTCTGTTCTCTGGGGTTGGGGGCGTGGGGATGTCAGAGAACGGAAATCCAGCGCTGGACCTGGCGCCACAAGGCCGGGCCACAAGCTGGGGTGGAAGTGGGTCCCCAAGGGACTCCAGACCGTTTTTGCTAGATCCGGGGCCAGCCTTTCCTACCTGGACTGAGGCCAGGTCTCTACGCCTAAAAGGACAAGGTCCTCCTAGTCTCCGACTTGGAGCCGCCGGAAGCATCAGGGGTCCCCTCGGGAGGGCAGGTGCACCCCACCCACGTGTGCAGGAATGCAGGGTCGCCCAAGCGTGCAGGAGCCGGCGCGGAGTGCCCATACTCGCCAAGCCCGAGCGGGACCGGGAGGCCGCGCCCCAACGACCGCCCCGGGCGCCCGCCCTTCCCCTCCAGCCTTCCCTTCCTTTCCCGCCATCACCGGGGAGGCGCACACCCCGCGAGCTGCCCGCCGCCCCCGCGTCCAAGGGCTCCATGGCGCGAGCAGCGTCCTCTTCCTCCACGGGACCGCCTTCCTCCTCGGCCTCCACCCCCATCTTCAGCGGGGGCCAACCGCAGAGCAGCTGCTGCACGGTCTCCTAGGAAACCAGGGCCCAGCCTCCGGCCTCACGCCTGCGCACTCGAGCGGAACGGCCTGAGTGGCAGAGAGCGGGAGAAAGGGCGGAGCGCTGCAGCGCAGTCGAGGTGGTTAAAGTGGGCGAGGAAGAACCCAAATGACCTTTTCTTTTTCTTTCTCCCCACCCCGTCTCTCTAATATTTTTAATTTTATTTATTAACGCGTATGTGATACCATATGCCGTGTGAGGGCAAGTGCCCGGAAAAGAGCGTTTTAGCCCCTAGAACTGGAGTTAACCGGCGGTTATTAGCCCCTTGTTTCTGGGATCCTGGGTTCTGTGGAAGAGCAGCAAGTACTCCCACTTCTGGAACATCTCTCTATCTCCATTCTTTTTCTTTTATTGATTCAGTTTTCCCTGAAGTCTTCAGTGTTGGGCTCATACCAAACTTTTTAATTTTTAAAGTATATTCTGTCAGATGATTTGTTGGCAAACGGGTAACCCCTAAACTTGAGTGATTTGTGTCTATGGGGTTGGGGAAAGGGTATAAGTTATATTAAGATCGAGGTAACTGTCAAGTTGGGAGCGTAGGCCCCAGCCCCTCGCATCTACCCCAGCCCCCAGGCCTGGTCTGGACTCCAAATCCCAGCAGGCTAGGACCTGACCCCTGGGGGTAGGGTCAGGACCACTTTTTTCCCCAGGGTATTTAAGTGATCTCCCAAAAGAGGAACACGAGGTCCCTTTTCCTTCCTCCCGGTTTCCTCTTCCGGGCCATCCGAAAGCGCAGAACTCCCATTAAACCTGGATATTTCTTAATTTGGCTTGATTGGGAATTTTTTGCGTCGGCAGGGAGCTCGCGTTAGGAAATATTCCTAACAGTAACCAGGTAAAGGACATGATGAACAAGGATGGATGTGAATGTTTGTTGTGTTTTGTTTGTTTTATTTAAAGAGGCTCTGATGCATTGAACCCTTGAATGGTTTATGTATGAACAGGGTATGAACAGGTAAGACTAGGGTTTTGACACACTTGCTTTGGGTTAAAGTCACCATTCCAGAGTCTGATTTTGCTGGCAGTGTAACAGTATATCGTGTAAGTGCTTAGAACCCGCACTGTAAAACAAAACGGGTAAACACACTCTCGATTCCATAAATGGAGATAAAGCAACACAGTTTAATGTTCTGATGTCTCTAAAGCTCCTGGCACATTCGGAGCTCAGTGGTGCCTTCTCATGGGGCGCATATGTGCCTGTATGTTGATATTTGTGTATGTGTGCATCTTCCAATACATTTCTCCCTATTCTGGTCCAGTAGAACCTACTGATTGTAGAGAGGAAATGCCACAGCTTGCTTCCTATTACGTTGATAAACACCATGACCAAAAGCTACACAGGGAGGAAAGGGTTTATCTGACTTACACTCAGCCTGCTTTCTCAAACCACCCAGAACCACCTCCTCAGGGGCAGCACTGCCTCCACCCCGCCCCTCATGGGTCCTCCCACGTCAATCATTAATCAAGGGAATGACACACAGACTTGCCTACTGGCAGGTCTGATGGAAGTTCCTTCTTCCCAGAGTTTGTGAAAACCTACTCAGCACCATCAAAAGACGAAAGAACCTCAGGCTGTTTGGGGATCCTAAATAGCCATTTGCCTTTAGTCTTTGTGTCTTAGCTTGAATACATATTAAATTTAGCAAATCACTAAACCTCTGTCAAGGCTGTAAAATCTGAAAACTCCTGGAAAGGTTTGCTGGACTCACTATCCTGGTCACCTGATACTAACATGAATGTGTTTTGTTTACTGTCTTGGTTATAACTGTCCTTTTCCTTTGGCTAAAAAAAGTTCAAACAACCACTTCTATTTTGCAACGGGTCATTTGGGCTAATTTAAAATCCATGTTCCTAGTGTTGTGTAACAGTTCCTGGGGAGACGGGGACACAAGGCTACTCACCCTGGACAGGAAACTGATCGAACAAAGCCGCTACACCGTCACCGTCAAAGTTCACCTAGGTGAGCTAATGAGTTTATTGAGTTTTTCTTTCAGAACTGTGGTGAGGACTTACCTACAGGAGCACGGAAAGCTCAAAGACAACTACATCACCCGTGTTCCACCCCAACAGGGGTGATGACTCAAGAGAGATGTCAAGCTGCCTCAGGGATAGAATGTTCTAACTTGAAGGAAATTTCAACACAATGTGTGGTCACTTACATTTGGTTCAGAATAAGTTATTTTGTCTCTTACAGCAAAGTTGTTATGTGAATAATTAGTACATATGTGTAAACATGTATTTTTTTATAATTCTCGTTCCTTCTACTCTCCTCCCACCTCTCTTCTCTATTACCTAGCTCAGATTGGCCTTGAACTCTCAATCCTCTTTCCTTAACCTGAGAACTTCTGAGATTACAGGCATGGGTCACCTTACTCATCTGTGATTCTGTTTCTCATCAAATACAAAGTGAGGGTCGTGAAAAAAAAAGCCCATTTAAAAAGTGCTGATGTATCCATACAGGGTAGCAAACAACACAGTGTGTGTGTGTGTGTGTGTGTGTGTGTGTTTCTTCCAATACATTTCTTTCCAAATCACCTTTGCATATTTAATTCTTAGACCTCTAGAGCAATTCTCAAAAAATCTACACACGATCAAAATCCCTTCTTAAGAAGCATACTGTTCCATGAAAGTTTCTAAGTGGAGGAACTATACAATATATTACCCAGCTATACTGCCTTCAAAATAAAATAATGCCCAAGCATTCATGATATCCCTAAGGGTATGGTAGCACACATACCAGAGCTGTAACCAACAGCGCTCTAATTGGACTTAAGACCCATTCAACAAAATAGAAATTACACCTGGTATTGGAAACCTAGTCAACTACCCAAGAAGTCATGGATCTTGGAGGAAAACCTACAATGGACACTTTACTAAATCAGCATAATTCCCCACTACATTCTAAATATTTACCCTTATATCCACAGATAAATATAGGTCTCATCCCTCATCAGAGACACGTCTCCTTGCAAAAGATGTAAACCTTTACAGAAAACCACAACCGTTCCAAATGCTGAGAACACATGACCATGTGGTACCCAGCCTCAACTGATACATCCGTAATACAAATACTGCACCTAAGGCTCAGGCTCAGAGATCATAGCAGAAATGAAGGTAGGGAGGTTGTAAGAACAAAAGAAACAGGAAGTTTGCTGTGAGATAGCATCTAGAAATGTCAGAGAATCAATACCCATGAAGTGTGATCAACTTGGCTGCCTAAGCAAGACCTGAAAAATTATGACACCAATAGACATACTAACATGGAAGGGGAAAAGCTCATGGGACCTCAACTCCACACAAAGAACTACAGGCAGAAAAGGAATGCTGAGAGTAGAACTACTCTTGCCAAGAAAGTAGTCAGCCCTAAAATCATACACATATAGCTAACATTATGCAGACTGGGAAGGTTGTATTTATATATTTAAGATGCATAACCATGTAGACATGAGACATGTACGTGTGTGTGCATGTGTGTGTGTGCGTGTGTGTGTGTGTAAAACAAAAGCAGAGGTATAAGCAGACAAATTTAAACATGTAAGTTTCCTGTCCCAACTCCTTGTTCTCAACCGACTCAGAAGCTGAATATGAATTATAAATGCTCAGTTGATAGCTCAGGCTTGTTACTGGCTAACTCTTACACTTAAATTAATCCATTTCTATTCATCTCTGTGTTGCCACCTGACTCATGGCTTCATCTGTCCTCTAGCATGTCTTGCTTCCTGGGCAGCTGGCTGTCATCTCTCCTGACTCCGCCCTTCTTCCCATCATTCTCAGTTTGACTTTCCTGTCTCACTTCCTGCCCAGCTACTGACCTGTCAGCTTTTATTAACCAATGAGAGTAATACATATTCACAGCACACATAGGATTATTCCATAGCCCAAAGGTCATGAATGTGAGCGAGAACAGGGCAGGAATGGATGGGAAGAGTTGGAGGAAGGAAAGGGAAAGGAGGAAATGTTGTAATTAGATTTTAGTTTCAAAAAGACAATAAAAAAAAAGAACATGCTGCTTCTTCAGTGAATTCTATTTGGCAGATCTTAAAACAGAACCTTGGAATTAAGCTCCTCTTTGGCCATGAGTGGCTCTTGGACTAAAACTCAAGGCTCTAATTACTTGTAAACAACTAGGTTTTTTTTTTTCCTTCCAATTATTCTAGATTGAGAATGATGCAAAGCCCTGAAATAGCCTGGCAGATGAACATGGCCCTTTCAAAGGAGTCCTAGGCTCACTACCATTCAACACGTTGCTTGAGTTAAATGAGCCAGCGTTGAAAATCAGCACACACAGGTTATTAGTAAGCTGCATCCATTTCCCTGTCCATGGTCAGACTTGCTGAGTGGCTTTTAATTTAGTGGGAAGATGGACAAGTGGATCCTTGGAAATGCTAATAAGCAAGCATAACAAGCCCCATGAATCACATAGGGCCCCCATATAGTTAATGAATTTTTTAAACAAGAATGCATTTTCATTCTGTAACTGAACTCTACATATTAGTTAACCAGCGCTTGTGTGTGAGGGGGGGGATAGAAGTGGCATCTACAAAATGATATCGGTAACTCTCTTGAAGGTCAGAAATAGCTGACAACTTAAAACAGGTTATTCCACAGTATAATATTATTAGCTCTTTAAAAAAATATTTTATGTGCATTGGTGTGAGGGTGTTGGATCCCTTAAAATTGGAGTTACTGACAGTTGTGAGCTGGCGTGTAGGTGCTGGGGATTAAACCTGTGTTCTCTGTAGAGCAGCCAGTGATCTTAACCACTAAAGCCATCTCTTCAGCTCAAAATTAATAACTCTTGAGAGTAGA